ATAGTCACAGTCCAAAGCAAGTGATCCTCCAGCCCCTCTTCCTCACCACTTCTTGCCCTGCTGGTAGGAACAATGACTCTTCTTTTTCTATGGCATGCTGCTTCCAAGTCACACTAACACCAATTTAAAGGGGATGAAGCACAGCATAGCTCTCTCCGCACTCTATAACCAGTAGCTTCCATCCACCTAAAGACAGGTGTATCTCTAGAAAGTATCAAACAGCCATAAAAATTCTTCTCATATTTTTTGTGTATTGTTATTTAGCAGACTACTTAGATATGGTGAAAGACCTCATAGTACAGTAAAGCCTGCAGAGTATCAGTATCAGGGGGGGAAAATATCTTAATTTTATTTTCCTAAAATAAAATAAAAGGCCGAGTCTCTCGGGACTTTCCCTTGAGTGTACCTGAAGTGCAGCTCAGCATCACAAGACTCTGCGCACTCAAACCATGAGAAAAAAGGTGGCAGCGGGCTAACAGACACACAATCTGTCCTTTTCCAGTAACTCCTAAAATCACACTGGAATCCCAGGACCTCCTCAGGGAGGCTGGGGCAAAGAGACAGTAACACAGTGCACTTAGAACACCAGGTTGTTTAAATTATGTGTACTGATCCTAAAAAGGATAAAGGTCACAGCAACTAGTTTTTAGGCTCCAAGAGACATCATAAGTACAAAATAAAACAGGTCAACCCTGAGTTAAATATCTGAGTGTGTCAAATAAGATACTGAGCCAGCTCAGAGTACTGACAAGAAACTTGCTCTTCCTGTCTGTGTAACCAGTGTTCAAAACGTCACCTGTACTATACGAGGTACCCAGTAGCGACAAACCATCTACCGTGACTAGATATCAAGCCTTGTTAGAGCTACAGAGAAAGCTTATTTGAAGAAATAACAAACAGCATAAGCAAGACATCTTTTTAGATTAACATCCATCTGCCAATTTAGGCCACTTCATTAATGACTAAAAGAAACAGTCACTTGACCAAATTCTAGAGGTCACCATTGCACCAAAAAGAGTGGTGATGAACTTTGGTTCAGAGAGATCCTTGGTTAATGCCAAAGGCAAAAAAAAAAAGAAACCACCATCCACCTAACCCACAGCATGATCCATTGAGAGTAACAAGGAACTCACTGTCCCTCAAACCTATCAGTCAGTAAGACATATTCATAAACAGAAGGTTTAGCACATAGTACTGAAGCCATATCAGCAGATCCAAGGCACTGGCATAACTCGTTAGTAGCGCAGTTCCAAGCGACACAGCTCACTTAGGTACAACCAGCACCTTCTGGTATGACTTTTCATAGGTGATACTATTGTCCCAGCATGTTACTCACACCTAGAAACTAAAGCAGTTACTCATGGCTGAGAATAGATACACAGTACAATCACCACAGCAAAGCACTGAAAAAGGAGGATTGGCTTTAAGTAGTCGGTCTGCACCTACTTGGTCAACGGAACAAGGCAAATTGCTTCAAAAAAAGCTAAGACCTAGTTTTATATCCGAATTACGTGTCCTTAAATTGTTGCAAATGTACTTCACTGGAAGTTAATTCCTACACTGCACATCAGGGAGTGTCATTCAGGAACGAGTTTTGGAAGTCAGAACTGCCAAGCAGAACACAGTGGGTTTGTTTCCCCTCCCCCTTGGATAGTGCAACCGATTCCACGAATCGAGAAGGTACACTTGTCTCATCCTTTTGCCAAGCATACGCATGGACACCTCCTTCACTGAAAAGAAACCAGAATAGATGTGCAAATTCATGTCCACCTATATAAGAACTTCTATGGTTATAAGATACAGAGAAAAGCTGAGGGGAAGGAAAGAGCTTTAGGGGGTGCTGCGAGATGAAAATATCAAGCCAAACATTCCTCCCATCTAAATGCAGGCTCTTGTCTTCAGCTGCAATGACAAATTTGGCAGCATAAATCCAGACCCGAACATCTATCATTTAGATGGAACATTCTACTGCAATCAAGATAGGACATCAGCACCTTGCTTTCTGCTTTAAAAAAAAAAAATTGGCTTTAAGGACTGCAGTTGTCAAAGACGAGCTAAAAGCACCATCATGTAGGTAAGAAGCAGCTGAGAAATTTGTCAAAATTGATCTGAACTGACAAAAGCTGACAGGTAAGAATCACACACGCAGAGTTTTAAGACCTTTTTGGCACATGGCAATTGATGTCCATCTCCTAGTCACTCCTAAATCAGCAACCAGTTCCACAGCACCTAACACCAGCGCAGACACACAGGATGCGAGAACAGTCAGCCAAACCAGCCGCAACCAGCCAGCGTAGGCTAACGCCAGTCCAAGTGTTTGTCTCTATTATCGCATCCCTAGGTTTGTTTGAATTCCACAGATGTAACGCAAAGGTTATATTTAGTGACTAATGTAGTTTGACACTGAGAAGCTTAAGAGCCTCTTTTTTGTAATTGAGTAGGAAGAAGCCTGCAGCAGTATAGGCCTGTCATAAAAAACACTGCTACACTTTTTTCCTTTGCAAGGCCATCAAAAAAATTCAAAGTCAACCCTGACCTTCCCTGTTGTGTTTCTAAGTGAACAGATCCAGAAAAGCAATAAATGAAGAGGCAGGTAAGTCTGTAGTTGCCTCTGTTTCAGAGCTAAGGTCTGGTATGCCTGAAAAAATCTGTCCCTTCCTTCCTTTCTCAGAGTTGGTCTAATAAGAAATTACTTGTCTACACAAAGTTATTGATCGCCTCCCTCTCATCAGGCCATCAAAACTTCTGCACCTTCTGAACTTTTATAGAAAAACTAATGGAGCAAGAAGTCAAGGTCGCTAGGACCATGTTCCAGCGACTAGCTTTTCCTCTTAAAAATCCCCTGATGCTCAGTGGACTGTAAAAATCATGCTTTTAATACACAATTACACAAGAATGTAGAAAAAGAAATTTTTGAAAAATATTGCTTTTTGTCCTGAGGATTTCTAAAGCCTGTTTCAGTGCTGAAAGGCATCTGTGAGTGGAACAATACTGTTTTATTACATCAGACCACAAAAAAGAAAGATCTGCGTAGCACTAAAGACTTGAATCCCATTTACTCATCTACAACTGCCAGAATGTCCTTCATATGGAGTTCACCACAGACCCCACCCCCAAACTCAGAAAGTGAAATTATGCCTTTATTGAAGAGAGTTTCCACTCTCCAACCTGTTACTCCATGCATGCTAGCTGCCAGCCTTATCGGACATGCCACCTACTATGCTGCTGGAAGAACAGTCAGGGAAGGGGATCTGTGGCACCAGAATGAAACTTGTCAGTACATCCTTCACTTTCTTCATGCGCAGACTCAAACAAGACAAACTGCAGGCTGCAGGAACTTCTTTTGCTGATGCACAGATCTGATGGGAATTACCTAAACCTGCAGCCAGCTTTTACTCCATCTATAAAGTAATGCATTACAAAGTAGGAAGGGATTCCAATTCTAGCTGATGCATCATCATATGGGCTATCACATGATAAGATCTAGTTAGACCAAGGCAATCTATATCATTTTCTGACACAGCAGACTCCGGATGAGACTGCACAAACACACCGATTCATACACAGCCCTATTATTCAGTACTGATTTTTTCAGAAGACCAGTCTCATGTCTGCTACTGCAGCTAAGAATAAAACCCAATGAAACACGATTGGCTACTAGTCTGATAACCTGGAAAACTGGAATCTGAGTCATGCATGAAATTAACTTAGAATTCTGCATAAAATTATCTCTAATTTTTAACAAAGTGTGACTCCCACTGTAATTCTCTAAGATCCAATCAGTTTTCATACAACAAACAACATACTCTAAATACCCAAGTCCAAATGGTGACTTGGCTACTTTCTCAACCTCCCCCACCTCACAGCTTTGTTCTACAGCAGATCAGAAACAGTTAAGGGACTAAATTTAGTAATGCTTGTTTTGTGTTTTAACTAGCAACACAAGCTGCCCTAAGGATGCAGCAGAGCATTAACTGAGTTTCTTTTCATTACAAACAACCAAGAAGAAATATCTTTAGAATTGCCTCAGTTGCCAAAAAGCTCATGCAGTAGCACAAAACACTGAGCATTTCTGAGGTATATAGATAAATGCAGGTATCAACCTGCCAACCTATTTTCATCGTTTACTCTTTCACCGCAACAAGTTACTTCACTAAAAGGAAGCTAGCAGGGAGGCCAGAGGGAAAGATATGGAAAGCCTAATTCCATGTTTAAGGTAAGACAGAGATTTAGATTCCCATTTAAGGAAAGCATGTTTACCAGAGCGCTCTTTGCTCAATTAAAAATGGAGGCTTTTCAAATGGTTGTGATGATAAAAAGAAATGTGCAAGGAACCATACCTGCTTTCTAGGCTTAGCCCATCACAGTACAAACAGTACTGTTGAGTTCACTGCCTGAATCATCCTCCTAATTGGAAAAACACAGAAGTGCATCCTACTCCCTCAATTACTCACATACTATTTAAATGGCCACACACTCATGTTCACTAATGCAAAGACAGCTTTGTTTATGGTGATGTATTTGTTACTCACCTAATTATATGAAGGTGGAATAAGCTGAGACCTTCATTCAGGAGTGTCAACAAGGAGCTTAAGCAAGAAACAGCGTATAGAACCAACACTATCCTTAAGTTGCTTTACAAGCTACTTCAGAAAGCCAGGACAGGGATGTACACCACATGCGGGTGGTTGCACCGAGCTGCCCAGCGTAATGTGTGCTCCTCATTGCCGTTCCCGGTTCTCTGGGAGGAGTGGCCAGACAGAAGCACTCTCCAAGCCCTCAGAGACAATCAGACCAGAATAACAAGCTATTGTACCATATCAGAGTAGTTATTGTACCGAATCAGAGTAGCCTTTCGGTTTGTTAACAAAGACCACAAGCAAACATTTAGGACTAGAAATGGCAAAAATCAACACTTAATTAAAAAAAACATCCTGTGACATGAACAAAGCTACTAATGTAATTTGTATCATTAAGTGTAAGGCTCATTACACACTTACCAAGGCAGTATTTCTGCACCTAGCTTGGCTGCCACGATTTTCCACACTGCCTCCCCTTTCCGTGCTCCCAAGTGCGTGCTTTGGAGAGATTTCAGATGCCATTTCAGCAGAATCTGAGAGAAGTTTTCTAGGCATGACACTCTCTTGACTTATTGACCCCGATGCAGCGCAGAATGCCATCAGCAAATTACGTAGGGCTGCTAGCTTTATTCATTTCTGAAAACAGAGAACAACATGTTACACTTCAAAATACTGTAAAAGGAATAGAAAATAAAGAGTAAAAACGATCCCACACAAGTTAATAACAGGCATACCTTTATGCTCTAGAACATGTCTACCACCCGTGGGCACCTTTTAAAAAAGTTAGTCTTAGTCTGAAAGGTGACTTTAAAAATCCAGTGTAGCAAGGTTTTGTACCCCATCATGTGTGCTTCCAAACCGGTCTACACTTACAAGCACGGACCCTGCACACACACCTGTCCTACAGATTCAGCTTGTGTTTTCCGTTATGACACATCATGAACAGTAATAAAATCCCATTGGCTGAGAGATCAACTGACCCAGTTCAAAGATCTTCATCTTTTATTAGCTTTTAGACAAGAATTCTGTTTATCAGATCACGAGGGAAACAGAATCCAGTTAATTGCAGCAGTGCTAGGAAACTAACTCATGTGTTACTGAAGCAGCTCTGTGCGAGCTGCTCCTGGTGAAAGATCCACGAACTTAATGCCATTTTTGCACCATCGTGTTACACAGCAAAATTGTGTTTTAACATTTACAGAGTTTTTATTTCACTCAGCCAAGAAAAAAACAGTGGGTTTACATTTGGACGATGCTTACTGGAACAGACATACACACCAGCGCTTACTGGAGAAAAAGCCCCAAGTTTTTTTAAGCCTTCCTAGTGCTCAGTTCTGTAATTGCCATCATCTCCCAAAGCACTTTGGCAGAATTTCTTCCTTCATTCGCAAAGTACGATAAAAGACAAGAGTCATCCTTTTGCACTAACAGGGGGAAAACAAGTAGAACCTAGCTCATCTTTCTCTCCAATACGTTAAAACATCCTTCGCAACACGAAATTGCCTTGTTCTTTACCAGCCCATCCTTTCACCCACCCTGCCTGTGACCAGGTAACAGCAGTGACGCATTCCTCAAAAGAGTTTGTTCCGAGGTACCACATTCTACGCAGCCAGCTGGGAACTGGATACCGTTACCGTGACACTGTACTAATGAAATGAGATGGTCCTGCTGCCCAAGCGCTTCTCCCTTTATTATGGTTCGGGAGGTGACATGAGAAGCAAAGTCAAGTCTGCATTTCCAATTCAATTGGATTACTTCTTCTTCCCTACCGCTGTCAGCTGAGGGCTGAGAAACCAGAGCCTCCTGGTAAGCTGATTAGCGTTTCATAGCAGTGAGATAACATCTGCCAATACTGAGCAACAATTCTATCCCACTGATCGTTTCCTCCCAGGAGAGGGCTATGACATTACCAGAGGTACGTAGGAACGCTCCCTCGTCTATGCCGTAGCACCAACACATGTCCTGTGGGGAAGGCTCCCACACAACGTAGCTAGGCTGCAGGCCAGCAAGTCTTGGAAGCACAATCCACATAAAAAGAGCACTGGATTGTGATGATAAAAGCATCCAATAGCCTTTCTTACAAAGATCAGGTCTAATGATTAAGATTTAGCCTTGCTTTTACATAAAAAGAACATTCTTCCTTTCTTCTATTAATAACATTGGCTATAAAAAGACACCATGCATCCTCAGTATAATGGTTTTTAAGTGAAGCCACAGAGGTAGAAACATGCTCTTGGTCCTGGTCATCAGGCATCACCAAAGACAGGCAGACATGAGAGCAGTAGCTGCTGTACCTCTGGGTGCCACGTGCCCAGGCTCAAACCAAAAAGCTATGCTGCAGAAAGCTAAGCTGGAAAAGAGCAGCCCAAGTCTAGAAGACAGCCTGCAACAGCAGCTCCATCTACAACAAACCCTGTGGCACTGAATAGCCACACACAAGAAAACATGTATCATTTGTAGAAGGCAACGTTATCAGTGAAAATCTTGACTCCTCTGAAATGCTACACACAAACACACACAAATATATGCATATAATTTTTAGAAGGCAAGACTGTCAGAGAAAATGTTGACACTTCTGAAATTCACAGAAAACTCCTACTGACTTCAGATTTCATCCCATGACTTACAAGGCGATGTTCAGATGGAAAAGAGTCTAAGGAGGGACCAGCAAGAGGCGAGTACTCCTACTGACATCCAATATAATGTGAGTGTTATTTCCTCATCAGCACTTTTACACTGCAGCATCAGTCTTTATCCAGGTGTCCCCAGTATAAACTGGACATGCCACATTTGTTCAGTCCTTCAGTGATGTATTATAGACAAACACTAGATTACTAGAATTATACTCAAAGCTGTTCGTGAACATTTTATAGACTACATTATGAGAGGTCATAGCTCCAGATGACAATAGATATCATAGACAAGACCCACATTTAAAGACTAAGCAAATGAAGATATTAATCCAAGTTACCAAGAAACCAATCAATGGGCCAAAACTTTGATGAAGAAGAAAGTATTTAAGAGTACTGTTCTGCTTTCTCCAACAGCAAAACCTTAGCATAACCAGGTGTAAGCTTCACAGTGGGCCATCTACATCCAGGACAGAAGGCACACCCAGATTCAGGAGTAATAAACACGAAAGCCACAAGTTCTAAACAACAACAAACAACTCTGCTTCCAGCAAGCTCCTGTTACTCATTTTGGAGCTCAAGCTCCGATGCTTCACAAAGCTCCTGAACAATGAATAAAGGCAGTGACTGCAAGTGGTTAAGAGAGCCACCCACACAAGATCAAGCAGCAGGCACTATGGCACTGGTTTCGCTTTTGTGTTGTAAGCTGTGGCTTCTTTGGAGGTTTTGCTCATTTCAGAAAAGCTCAGGAGCCATGCAGTAGCCTGTGAACCTGCAGAAAGGAGGTGGGGGGAAGGTCTTTTTCCCTTCTCTCTCTCACATCATCCCTAACACTTCAGGGGTACATGTCAGTAAGGCCATCACCCATTCATATATATTATTTCTTCTCCCCTTTGCTGTGTTGTTTTCGTGCTTTAAGGGAGAAACTCCTACATATTTGCACAATGCCTGGAGCAGCTACAGCTGATGTGAGGTTGCCCAGCACTGCTGCAATAGATACAGCATGCTTTACAGACAATTTCCCCTCCTAACCATGGCTAACGCAGAAGTCCCTTCACCCTTCTCATGTCCCCTCTATTAAGTGGAAAACTTTGTGGATTTAAGATATAGTCAAGAATCTAATGAATTTCAAGAAGACCCCACTGCTTGTTTCAGTAGGATTGCCTAGGTAACAAGCAAGGGTTCAAAAATAAGGCAGCCATCCTCAGAGAGAGCAAGAACAGCAGGACGACAGGCGGCTGCTCCTCCCGACCTTCAGAGACACATTAAATATGAAAGTTGCTCAATACAGGATTTGTGGCTTGGTCTGTTCAATGCATTGTAGTGAGGTTTTTTTTTGCTTGGTTTAAGAGATATGTGCCTGTACCATTAGGGATTAATAAAAAAAGAAATCAGACCATGACACAAGCATGCGTAAGTGTGACAGGAACAGTACTACTTGGGCAGAAGATCCCAAATACTAAACCAAAAAGGCACCTTAGGACAGCGGTGATTCTATCAACTGAAATGATCACTTCTCAGTTACACTAGAGCTAGCTTTCATGAGATATTTAAAACAGTATAATTCACACATCACACGTTTGTCAGAGGGTTGTAGGAGGAAATTGAAATACCCTGAAGTTAACATTGAATTTTACCTCCAAAGACTTAATTTTGCTTTGACAGAGGCACATAATTCAGAGAGACTGCACTGAGTTGCCATCAAAGATAAACTGCAGCCTGTCTGTTTAGAAAGACTATTTTTATAGTTTTGCTGACTAAGATTACTTCTCCACTGAAGTTCAATGTTAGCATTTACAAAGGACAGTTTCTGTAGTAGCAGGAGATTGAAAAAATTGTTCATTAATACTCCTGTTTGAAGACCAGCTTAATAGGCAAAAAGATCAATCCTGCAAAAATGGAAGACATTTAGAGGCTAAAAGTCAACCACTATACAAGCCAGGAGCCAAAAGCCAGCAAACAGACAGCATTATCCCATTTACTGCACGATATATTTAAGGTAAGTAGAGTCAACAATTTTTAGCAAGTTATCATACATTTTTTAAAGGACACAATATCAGCCTCTCCCTACCCTCGCTATGCATACAATTTCTAGAACGCTTTTTGCCTGAACCATTTCTTAAGCTAGATTTCTAAGCCCAGACTATACTCCGAGCATCACGCACACTTTGCCTGCTCCTAAACAGCGATTTCTCAGCAACACAAACAAAACAGAAGAACTGGCCAGTGAACTTCAAGTTTTGTTTTAATCTGTCAGCTGTACACAGACACACCAATGCACACTCAGCCCTGCATGCACCATCAGTCGCCTGCACTCCACGGCAGCGCTTGAGTTTGGAGAGTTAAGCATCTGTAAAAAACATCTGAAAGTACTCTCAGGTCATTCAGAGTGTTACTGTGGGATAGGTTTTATAAAAATAATGGTACAGGGGCAGACTAGAGACCTGTATCTCTATTAGCCTCTGACAGTTAGCAGGGAGAGTATGTAAAACAAGGCAAGTAGAGAGTAGGAATTCATTCAAATTCCTGCAAATTGTGGTCGTGAGACCACAGGGCTTCCCAAAACAGGCCAGGTGTTTGTGTCTAATAACCTGATGAATTTTTCCTTGTATTAAGTTCTCCTGCAACATACCTTTAGACCTGCTGTACAGGATCACAGCTAAACAAAACCAGCTGGCCCATGACACGTCTTTACTGAGCCACTGCTCTTACAAGCATCTCCAAACTAACTGGCCCAGCATGGTGGACACAGCTCCAGAGCTATCAGCAACCGAACTCTTCTCACCTCCTTCAGGATATGAAATACAGAGTAAATCCTTGAGCTTTAGAGGTAACCCATGTCCTACTCTTGTGATACAAAGTAAGATTTCAGCGCTGCCTACAAAGGACAAACCTCACAGACAGGTTGATTAGGAGCACACGGGATGGCTGAAGAGGTATTGCTTTGAGCACATAACCCCAGAATCAGAC